TTTTTTTTAATATAATTTGATGGGCTGGGTTGGGTTGGCACTGGGGCCCACTTAATGAGGTTCGGGCCATAGCTGTGTTGATCCGCGCAGCCACGAAAAAGAAAAGAAAAAACAAAGGAAACAAAGAGAATCTGCACACACAAAAGGAAAAAAAAAAAATTAAAAAATAATAAAAAATAAAAGAGGGGAAACACTGTGGGCGGTAGCCCAGAGAGGAAAATCCAGCAAATAATCCAAACCCTAGCTCCTCTCTGTGCGATTTTGCTCAAAATCTACCTAAACTAACTGGATTGGGCCTTGCCAATTAGGGTTCTCTCTGCAATTCCCAATATGGTAAGTGATCATATTTCCGTCATTTTATTTTTAAATTCTCAATTAGGGTTGGATTTGAGATTGATTTGATACGAAGACTGAAGTGTTTCAGATGAATTATGGTTCTTGTTGCTGTTATTAGTGTTGTAATCGTTATTATAAGCAGTGCTTTTGCCGTTGTTGAGATGCTGTCACCGGTAACTTTACTGTTTAGTACACAGGAGCTCGGAATTTTCATTCTTTATGTTTATCTTTCAAACAATTATCTGAAATACTCGATTTTGATCTGGGTTGCATGGAATTGATTGGTGTGTGATGTTGTCTGGCATGGCAGAACAAGTTGGGTAGAGGGCAGCGTGAGAAGGTGCAGCAGTTCGTGTCGATTACAGGGGCAAGGTATCTTAACACACTTCCTTGTATTTCTTTCGTTTTTTTCTATGAATTTCGACCTGAAAATTCGACACGCACACACCCGAAAAACCCGACGTGGGCAATAGGTACGAGTTTATCGGTTTTGATATTCTCCACACAGACTTTTCAGCTGTTTTTCAAGATTTGTCACTTACCACATTGATGACTGCGTAAATGTCAAATGAGATCTGATTTGTGCTTATTGAATTTTGAAATACTATTGAACACTGTCACGTGTTATTTGACTTTTGGTGTAGCTGATACGAGCATTTTCTCTTGGGTTTCTGTTTTGGTCCTTTAATAGGTATATCTTATGTGTGTTGAATGGTGATTGACATTATTGTGCATGGTGTCTCCATTTTTGTTGCAGCGAAAAGGTTGCTATTCAGGCACTGAAGTCCAGTGATTGGCAGTTTGAAGGAGCATTCGACATATTTTACAGCCACCCGCATGTCAAGTCAGTTGCTGATACGAGACATTTAGAGGAGCTTTACAATAGATACAAAGGTAGAATTTCTTTGATTGCTTTTTATTGACTGCTGAACACTCCAATATGTTTTCATAGCTGTTTTCAACTGCATTTTCATTGTTCAAGCTATCCTTTGTCCAAATGTTTTGGTTGAAAAACAGCAACTACATGTCTATTTATGTATTGTCTTTTTCTATGAACTGGAAGTTTTGTTTTGTTTTTGTCACCATTATATAACAAACACCTTTTTTCCCTTCTCCCTCCCTGTGTCTATTATGCATGTGAATGTTTTGGTTTCGTTATTCATTCCGCACAGTTCAACATCATTTTTTTTTTGGTTTACTATACATGAATAAATCTCACTTTTTCACTTTTCTAATACATTTGTATTGCCCCTGATATGCATTCATTTTACATGGACTAGCGGAATGCCCTGCTTTCATCAGTTCAGCATGGCTGTAAATTTTGGTGTTAGGCTATTTGAACTTGGCCTAAAGTACGCTACATTTTAAGTTCCAATTGATCTCAGCTGATATAGCATTTCATTTGCAGATAGTTTTGTGTGAGACATGTATCCGTTTCTCATTCTTGCTTTAGGAATTTGAAAAAAAATCTTATTGTGGCCTGTCATTTTTTTCAGATCCCTATGCTGATATGATTTTGGCTGATGGGATCACTCTGTTATGCAACGATCTTCAGGTAGCTTCTGCTGTTACACTAACGTGCTTCCAGTCAGTCATTATGTTTGGTGAAGAAAATCTTGCCAATTTATTGTTTTACTTGTATAATGTATAGCATATAATCTTTGGGATCACCATTTAATACATCTGCTGTCTTTTCCTATTCTGATTTTCTGGTCATCATTTCTTTAATAACATATGGATTGTTTTGTTTTGGTAGGTTGATCCGCAAGACATTGTTATGGTAAGTTATATCTGAAACTGTTCATCAGTTATAACGTTGCCTAGATTTCTATAGTTGCTGAGACTGCATCAAACTTGTGGTGTCAAGCACCCAAAGTACTAACTAGTTATTGAAGTTTTCTTCCGTTGCTTGGAAGCACCCTTGATTTTGTGTTTTCTTTTGATCTTATAATATTGCATAAGTTTGCTTATAGGCTTCTGAACATTAGACATGTATCATTGTTTTTATCTATTCTTTTAGCCTTGATGTGGAAACTGCTAATCATTCTTTGTTTAACACGTGCAGTTCTCAAAGTATTTGTGATTTATTTGTTTTACTCAGAAAAAAATAGTTGCATTTGATTTTAGGAGATCTTTTTGGTCAGCTTATGTCCCGATCCTTATTCTAAAATTCGTCTGGTGCATGTTGTTGTAAAACAAGATGATATCGGTTAGAGAAATGAATTGAATTTTGCAAATTCAGACCCCTATTGAGTTAGTAAGTAAAGGAGCATGATGGATATTTCTTACAAAGATGAAAAATTACGTGTTTGGATTTTTATTTATTTTTAATTAATTACTATGTTCCACATTTACAATTCTATGATTTGTAGTTGGTGGTCTCATGGCATATGAAGGCTGCTACAATGTGTGAATTCTCAAAGCAAGAGTTTATTGGTGGATTACAATCACTAGGGTGAGGAATCAGTCATGACCATTCTCTCTCACAGAGAGAATTTCAATTTACGTGATTGTAAATTGAACATTTTGTACTTTTCGTATTTCGCAGGATAGATTCACTTGAGAAGTTCAGAGAAAGAATATCTTTTATGCGTTCCGAACTGAAAGATGAAAGTAAGGGTTATAATTGGGAATGCTGTTTCTAATGCAAGCACTTAAACGTGTTTTCCTCTCAATTCCTGAATTTCCTCACTGAATGCTCAACAATTTGACGCCACTAGTCTTTTGACAGATAGAACAAGAAAAACATGCCAACTTGTGTGTTCATGCTAAATAGGGAACATGTGATGAAGTTTAATATCAGAAAACTGGTCAATAGAGTTCCATTTTGGATTGCTAATTTATATATTTAAATTATTTCCTCCAGATAAGTTTTGGGAGATCTATAATTATGCATTTGGATGGGCGAAAGAGAAGGTAAATTTCTTTTCTCACTTGGACAAAGAAGTTCTTAATTGAAATTGGTTATGCTAAATCAGCGATATAGGTTGTCTTGTCGCGGAAGATATAATTAATACTTTATTACTCTATTCATAGCTAAAAAGATTTAATATGTCTTGTAATGATAAATACTGATTTGACCATATTCAATCACTTTTAGATCTTAATTACTCGGTCTTCCATTCTGGCTTAAATCCTCTTCATTTATTATTTCATCAATATCAAATATTAGACACATAATGCACGGACCATATGCCCTTGTATGTTGTACTTTCTATTTCAGAAAATGTATGCTCTTAAGTGTTATGCAGCTATTTTTTTTTTT